CTTGTCCAACACCCAGGAATAAGTGAAGGGAGATTTGCCGATATCAGCAGCTTCTTTCTCAAACTTTTCAATAGTTCGATTGTCAATGCAACCGGGTTTTGTTAGTCATCATTAGCTCTTCAGTTGACTTCGAGTTTCACAAAGGGGAGGAACATCAAAGTCGAGAGGGGAACAGTAGAGTGATCCACAGATGTAAAAGAGACAGACACAAAGGCAGAATAAAGGTAAGATTAGTACAGTGGAAGTGGTCGCATATGATGGTGTGATGGGGTGATGGTAGCTTGAAGTCAGAAGTCAACTGCCGGTTTCTAGACTTTTATGCCGTATGATAAGTATGCGTTGCCCAGGGTGCACCACGTGAAGGTAAGTCTATGGCACATCCCGAATTACTTCTAATATACCCCAAGTGAAAATATATTTCATTGCATCGAATTTAACTTCTAAGTTAGGGATTTTCGGATTAAAAAGACACTAGCCTGGATTCATCTCTGTTCACAACACATCAAACATCAGACTTGACACTGTGAAAAGAATTGATACAGCAGGAGGGACTGCAGAGGAGGGGGGGGGGGGGGGNAGGGAGAGGGAGTGGGGGAGGGGGGTGTGGTTTTAAATAAACCACCTCCTTTCCTCGGTGTGCACTGAAAAATTTCGCAACACTGACCAGCAGGGAGTATTTTTTTGAACTATATACCCCTCCTTCGATCAAAATTGAAGGCGCATAATTAACATATTCTTCATAGAATTCTGATTTTGTAGGTCATTTTCCCAAATTTGTTATAAACGATGGGGTGAAATATTAATATTTACATTTCCTCAAACTTGGGGTGTGCGATAGACTTACCTCCACGTGGTGCACCCTGGCCAACGTATACTCATGCGGCAAAAAAGTCTATTAACCGACAGTTGACTTCCCACTTCAAACTGCCATCACCCTACTGTATGTCATTGTCGATTACTTCCACAGTGCTCACCTCACCTTTTTCCACCTTTGTGTCTGTCTCTTTTACATCTTTAAAACACTCTTCTGTTCACCCTCCCCTCTCGACTTCTTTTCGATTTGATGTTCCTCTCCCTCTGTGAAGCCTGAAGTCAACTAAAGGGCTAATGATAATTATCATAAAGCCTGTCATTTGATATAAATACATGGGGTGCCCAATAGACTTACCTCCACGTGGTGCACCCTGGGCAACGTATATTTCTACGGCAAAAAAGTCTATTGATCGGCAGTTGACTTCTGACTTCAAACTACTATGGCCCGACTATTTGTCATATTCGACCCCTTCCACAGAACTCATCTTACCTGTATTATGCCTTTATAACTGTCTATCTCTTTTACCTCTGTGAATCATTGTTCTGTCTCCCATCTCGACTTTTTGTCACTTTGATGTCCCTTCCTATCTCTGCTGTGAAGCCCCGAAGTCAGCTCCAGGGCTAATGATAACTTTCAAAACCCCCAAGCCAGCTCCAGGGCTAATGATAACTATCAAAACGCCTGCCATTTGATATAAATAAATAAATGTAAAATCATTTCCTCAAACCTTTGTACAACTGGTTTAGGACTTAAGCCGTTTCAATCTTTGATCACATTAACGCACACTCAATTGCATGCTTCGTATTGCTACATCCTACCGAACTTCCTTAATTTCAACAGCATCAAGACGCAAAAAAATTTGTTTTCCTTCGAAACTATTACTGCAAGCCCTCAAAAGCATTTTATTAAAAATGTAAGTTCACTTTAGGCACCCCACTTAAGGAAAATAAGTCGTCAATAGTATAAATAGCCATATATTTTATAGGGATTTGTTTTAATTAGAAGGTGGTGCGCTTTTAATTTTAACCGAAGTGATAGGGCATGTGCGTCTTAGAGCGCTTGGCATATTCGTAATCCTTCAAATCGTCCATGTCGTAGGAGGGTGGCCAGATTGGAAGGAAATATGGATATTCTACTAGGAAAAAAATGACATGACTAAAAATACCGGAGCGGTTTCGTAACTTTAAGATCGATGATAATAACACATACCCGAGGGATAATACATAGGCTTTAATTGCCGTTTGAATGGTGATGCTAAATTTTCAGAATAGCCTGCCATTAAAATATTTGTTAAATTTGGGTGGATTAGGTCGTTATTAAATATAAATATAATTAAATTTATAAATATTAAATAGATTAGCGCTTTATATCCTACCTGGAAGACAGTCAATGGATGAAATAAATATAGCGCCGAGTACAAATATTCCGAGATTCACTTGAAAGTTTCGCATTTTCTAGATACAATTTTGATAAAATAAGTGAATGAATGGAATTTACCTATTTCAATGTCGACTATACTTTTTAATTATAACTGCCTTTTGTGGAATATAACCTTTACTCGGAGCTTTTATACTCTTATTGGAATGAAATGGACGAATAGGAAATTTGGCGATATCAGCCAATTGGAAGGGACCTTAAGTTATCCTCAGCATAACCTACTTATACGATTTCAGTACCATTTAATTTTGAATTGATATTTTCGAGCGATTTTACTTAATATGCTTTTTCTTAAAATTATTTAACTTACTTGTTTGTCTTTACTTTCGGTAATCAAAATTTGTTTATAGTACCTTAAAACTTATTTTGCTGGATTATTACTAAATTAATCGTTTAAATTTTCCTATATTTATGATTGGAAGATGCTAACTCGGAGTGTTATATTTAGATCATTTTTTTATTTAAGTGAAAAGACCTCAGCATAAATGGGATTAACTAAGTTATTAGTCGATGTGCTGCAAATGTCCACCAAGGAAAATAGTTTAGGTTAGAACAAAAGAGGAGAGAACTCTCCAGTTATAAAGCATGTACTGTAATTAAATTTTTGTGCAGAAATTACATTACTGAACATTTCTTACGCGTTTTGGCCAGGGTGTTTGGGAAGGGAGTACAATCACTGCCATTCGACTAAATCTAGTAAAAGGGCCCATACTGGCCTGTCTATCAGACTCAGTGGGAGATTCAAGTGGTAAGAAGGCTGACCAAAACACTTTTCCCTACTTTATAAATGTTTGTATTTACTTCTAATTTCTAATTGGTTTATTTGACTTCCTTGAATTATTCTAACTATCTTTATTAACTCCCTGACTTGGCTTCAAGTTTTCTATTTAGGCTTATTCTCTCAAACTCATTCAGCAAATCAGGTCTGTCATTCAGTTTGATTTCAACAGTTCCTCCCAACGAAATGTCAGTAATTATTTTTATTTAATTATTATTATTTATTATTTAATTATTTTTAAATATCATAAAGCCTGCCATTTGGAATAAATAAATAATTTACCTTTCTAAAGCTTACTCTTCTCTTGGATACTTCCTCCCTGAAGCACTGAACCTCATTCAGTATCTTGGGTTAATTGCGGATTTGAATCATGCATCAATCATGAAATCGGTGTCAGCTGTTGCTTATACATAAGGAGAAAGTAGATCGATCACAGTGGGTGAATCAAGACTCATAACAAACATCACAGCAATTCAGGGCTGTAATAATGACAAAACCCTTCCTGTTCTCATTCGACAAAATCACAAGTTCTTACTCCGTAATCGATGCTCATACACCGTCGACGGTATCGCAATTTCAGAGAAGTAAGGAACAGTAAAGACTCTCATGAATTAATTTTCTCTTGGTTTAAGTTTTTTAAGATAATGAGAGATTGGAACGTCAGATATACGATTGCTTTCCTGTACGTTAAAACAAATTTAAATTCAGATTACATCAAGGGATTATGTGAAAATTCAATCATCAAATTCCTCTGCTCCTACCCTGAATTATTTCATTTTCATTAATAATTCGTTTACAAATATCTCCTGTTGGAACGAAAATCCTTTTAAATCAAATTAAATAAAATATATCAATAACCTCACTCCACCTCTCTAGGATTATTTTTTTCATTATTTGAAGACCCTTTATTTACTTCTGACTTAAAATACCTAATTAATTCTTCGAAAAAAAAACTTTTATAAACTTTGCTATTCAGGATAGCAAGCAAATTATTAACATCGTGTTATTGGAATTCACCTTATTCATTTCAAAATCCGAACCCCTTATTCTTGGCTTTAAAGAAAAATGAAAATTCAATTTAACACGGCAAACTGAGAAAACAAATTTACTCAATCAACTCGTTATCCTCGGTGCCAATTCCTTAGGTTTTTACAATGTTGTTTTTCAGAACAACCCAATTAAAAAGATTCCAAAATATAAATTATTAAGACTGTCAATAACGCTAATCAACTGTTTTCTTTCGAGCCCTTCATATGATCTTGTTTTACACCGATGAATATCTTATATGCATTCTATCCCATGAGTAAAACACCCAAAACCTGTTTGAAGTGCCATGAAAAATAAAGGTAGGGTCTGGAAGACTAGAAAGCCCAAAATAATTATTAAATGAACAACTTACGAATATCCAGACACCCAATCCACTGACCCCCCCCCCCTTACACAGGCATTTCAAGCCGAATTAATTCTCGAATTTCACTCGAAGGATTATGCAAACACTAGATATTATTGCATGCTGAACTAAAATTGAAGATTCGTTTACATGCAGAGGAAATCTTTTGAAATTCCATTCATTTCAGTGTTTGGGCGACGTATCAAACAAATAGTATAGATCTTTTGAAAAGACATACTCCATAATTCATTAGATAAAAGCATAGTTTATTGAAAAATAATTTGCAATCAAAATTGTAGCTATTCAAATAAAATTGATAAGTTCGTTTCTATAAATCTATTTTTGATAACACAATTATTATTATTCAAACTGCGTAAAAATAGCAAAATTTGTAATATTAACGAAGTGCCAATAAGTTTCAAATACTTTTGTATCAATTAGATTCTTTCTTTTTGAAATAGTGTCCTAAATAAAAATAAATAAAATATTTTAATCGACTCTAAATGCCGGCTTTATTCAAAAATCCTGCATCCAATCACTCGTGGCGTCTTCCTTCGGTGTTTAGAGCTTAGGTTTTCGTGATGGTATGCTACATTTTCTTGGCTTACTAAAATTTTTTCTCTTAACTAATTTTTTTGAAAATTTTACGACTATCTTTTCTACTTTAATGCTTACTTTAAGTTTATATTTTGTTCTGTTCGAATTTATTATTATTCATGCTTCGTTTTGTTTAGAATACTAAACTTTAGCGCTTCTAAGATTTCTCTCGGTCAAACCTTATTTTTCATTTTCTTGAAATTAGTAATTTATGCATAGTTATAACGGAATAAGGCTTACCTCTCAAATACCACAAGCTGACAATTTGGATGTACCGTTGGTTTCTTTAAGGTCTTGCTAATCTCGTCAGCCAACCTAATTTAAGTGCCCGACCACTTTGGGCTTGGAGATATCCTAAGAGCTAACAAAACACTTGCCTTTTCTGTGATCAGAATACAGAGTGTTTGTCCACGGAAATTAGGGGAGGGGGGGGGGGGGGGGGGGGGGGGGGGGGGGGGGGGGGGNGGGCTGGAGCGATTCTACGAGAGGTTTGGCTGTTTTTTAATGCAGTAAGCTTGACGTCTGATGAACAACTTTGTATTTTGGTCTAAGTTGTGGCACGTGTCTTTCGCTACAAAGGAAATAGGCCCAATAGAAGCACTAGTGTAATGTTTATGTATTTGATGGAATACACCTCTATCTGCCAACCAACCAAAAATCCAGCGAATAGTGCAGTATAAATCAATTCTAAAGACTAGCCTTAAAAATGGGTGAAAATCCTTTAATGACAATATTTTTTTTCAGTCTCATGTTGATAATCAGCAGTCCCGTTGGCAAGCTCGAACGGGTAGTAGTGGTGGTGAACGTATGTGTTGGATATGCTACTCAATAGAACGCGAAGATAGTCCCGAACAGCAATGGATTCATCCCTGTCGTTGTCGCGGTTCCTCCAAATGGGTCCATTTGGGCTGTCTCCAGAGGTGGCTCGACGAAAAACAGCGTTTAGACTCCTCTCTTCCTCTCACTTGTCGAATTTGTGGCTACGAATATGCGGTTGAATATCCCCCTGCCGGTAAGTAATCAGTAAAATCATTTCATTCCACTACTCAGTTGGGTCATTTACTTGTACATACTCCAACAAATTTTAATCGAGTATCCAGTGCTGGAATGATCCAAAAGTAATGATATTCGGTTAACCGACCGGTTGCATAATTGCCATTGAACACATATAGCTTAGTAAAAGGACATAAAGACTTGGAATTTCACATTGCAGTCGCTTTTTAAAAGATCTCATAATGCTTCTAGAAACCATATTGATGGAGCCATTCTAAAATGCGACTCTTTAACTAGCCTTTTCATTTACAGTAAATAAGTTTCCTGTACTTCGGAAGCTTGCATTCTGTTAACTTCTTACAGACCTCTATATTTTAGTCGTGACAATCTTGCCAACTCAAAGCCACCATTGGTATCTTTTGTCACAACTTTGTGTGGCCATTCTTTCTGGGTCTCCTCGTCACCTGATGATTCAAAAGGTGTTTTAGGCAAAAGAAGTAGAAAAATACGCTAAATGTGCTTCACTAACCTTTTGGTTAATCCTTAGGGCATGTCGGTTCGCCCAAGATTACTGTAAGTATCTTTCCAAAATGGTCCTTTTTCCCACGATATTCTTGGACTGGAAATGAAGCATATCTTTTCAGGCGTTGAAACTACTGTGCTTGATTCTGGAATACCTGTCCTTTTGCTACTAGAGTTACGATGGACTTGTGGGCAGTCTGACTAACGTGTTTAGTCGCAGAGCCATAGTTGTTACTTCTATCTGCCTCCCCTTGGCTGGGCCGAGGTACAAATGTATATCGGGTGGTGCTATGACCAACAGCGGAAATGGATAAATTTCTGTCAAACAGGTTCTACTTATCGTGTCCGCAAATCAGGACATTGCACATTAAGCTAGGCTTCTTATTAGAGCATGTACGCTTCAATACTTCCCTAATTCGCATGAAGTACTTGCTTGTTCTCCTTCCCCACATATCTTACCACTCCGTCGACTCGTTTGCTTACAATTATTTCACTGTTTTGTGTTTGACGGGGGGGGGAGGGGGGCGAATTGTTTTTACCTGCGTTAACTTGTCCATAATAAGAAGTGAGTCCCATAAATTGGATTTTACCAAGAAAGCAGCATTCAAGGCATCTCAATGCTTTTGGTCAATGAATTTTGGGCTTTTTTTATTATTACATTTATCTGTTATAAATTTAGCCCCTCATGTCTTCTTTTTTTGGTACATCCTTAAAATTTATTTCGAAATTAATTATCCCCATAGACTAAGTTACGAGGAATGTTGGGGACATTACACCGAACTTTAAGGAATGTAAAACAGGAAGATTCTTTCCTCAAAAGAGGTAGGAATGCTTATTTGTTGTTCCCTTTTTCGGCGCTTTCAGGTTGGTTAGTCTATTTTTCATTAACGAGAGTTTGAAATCACTTTTTGGTTTCATTGGCTAAAGCTTCATAGACTAGACCTGCTTTATGATGCTAAAAGAAAGCTTCACAACTCTCCATTTGCTCAAGATGAACTCCACAAGTTGATATAAGATAAAAGCTTACAAGTTTTAGTATTTACTGGAATTAGGTAACGGACTCAGTGCGTAACAAGTCTTTGTTGCAAAATAAATATTTCAATTTCTGCCTTTGTGCTCCGATCGCACTCTGAGACTTGAAACCATGTTTCGACTACATCCTCTCTTTACCCCCCCCCCCCCCCCCCGAAGCGAGGGAGGGTCACGATCTGACTTTTTTTGCGTTTTTAGATTCCCCTAGGCATGCATTGACCTTGTCATCTATTTTTCAGGTAATACCTCCCCTTTTTTTGCACTGTTTTGAGTTGGATTCTGATTGGACAATGATTAATGGTGGAATTCCGATAGACAATGTGTTTTTGACCATCCAAATTCTTTTTAAAATTTTCAACAGCCTTTGAGTCAAGTCTTTTTCAGTAGGTTGTTTTTTGAAAGACAGTTTTGTTGCTTTCTTCTGTTGAGATGCTAAGTCCTTTGTTTATAATCTGGTTTGTTCTTTATTGGTTCGTGGTCTAATAGACACAGCATAAAGATGAAATGTGACATCTTGAATGCTATTTTATAATGGCAGGAAGCAACTACCTGGCCATGATGAATACGGCCTTATCAACCAGCACGTAGTTGCTTCCTATTGGTCCACCATACGCCCACACATGCTGGCAAGTGCTTCCTTATTGGGTTGACCTGGTCGTTTGTTCTGTCTACGTACTTGGTGGATTGGGGTATCTTTCCATGAACCACGTGGTCTTTTTACCCCAGATTGATGGTCAACAGATGTCTCGAACGTGAAGGCACATTTTTTATGCATAAATTCCAATGAATATCCCTTCAACAATAAAATTTTGGGACAATTTAAATATCAAAGTCTAATAACGACCTCTCAGTCTTTTGGTGTTTTTTTTTGACAAAGGGCCCAGAATTGTCTTATGCTTTTTCTTTGTCTCTAACGCCTGTTTACTTATTGCAGACCCTCTATTGGTCGCCTTGTCAGCAGTTGACGCTGCGTTAGATGTTTCTTCGAGTTACGTGTTCGTAGGTGCTCTGCTAGGGAGTCTGTATTGGACAGCGGCAACATTTGGTGCCATCACGGTGGTACAGGTCTGTGGGCAGGATGCTGGAATCGCAGTAATGGAACGCGCTGACTCGATGACTCTCCTCATAGGCCTTCCCGCAATCCCTATCGGTCTCATTACTGTCCATCTCTTTGATTGGCAATCCTGGCTTTTGAAAATCTGGCGAAATCACGCCTACAAGATTCCCCTAGTTCAACACTGCCTTCCAAAAGGTTGCCTTTATCGTTTATGTACATTCTACTGATTACTATTGAGTAGCTGTGTGGCGTAATTATTACTTTTCGACCTTTTTATAGATGTTTGCCTCTCACGTTTGGAAGAGACAGGAGATTCAAACACAAATCTCACAGTCACTCGTGTTCTCTTTAATGCCCTCGCTCTTCCGACTTTCGCCGTATTTTTTGGACGTACTCTCTTCGGACACGTTCGTTCACGAGTACTTCGAGCTCTTGCGGTAAGTTGGGGTGGTATTTATGCACTGTCACTATTATGCTCCTATTTCCATGCGCACTGGTGTCTAAGGGCCCTTTAATACAGTCAACATCGAGTTAAGTTTCCATATACTGGTGGGGATTACCTCTGACCAACTCAACCCACTGAAGCGTTAGAAACATCGGGGTTGCCTAGCTTCTTTGAGCTCTCATCTAATCTCTTATCTTTCGAGGTTTCTGGTCCGTAGTCAGCAAACTGTTCCCATACCATGTCTTATCTTCTCTCCACCTCGTAGTGTGGTGGAGACCGTATGAAGTTAGCTCATCTAGGCACCCCGAAGCCAGTTAACAAATTTTCTGTTTTTTTTATTCAATAGGGTGGACTATTCTACACGGGCTTTACGGGTTTCCTGCAGATGTATCAACGAGAGATGAATTTCCTTCGAAAATGTCGAAGACGGATCAAGGAATACCAGGAGGAGGAGGAGGAGGAGGAGGGAGGGGGGAACCACAAGGCATAAGACAAGAAACGTATCATGGATTATGACTTGTAATTACGATATATTTCTGCCTTATTTTGTCCTAATTTCTTTCTTTATGTGATTGTAAATAAAAGCATGCACTTGCAAAAAGCTTGTGTCTACACGTTGGTGTCATTTGGAGCACACTTAGCTTTCACTAGAATGACGATAAACTGGAAAGTTCTGTCTTGGAATTAAAATTCCTTTGTGACTTTTACGAAGAGAGAGGGTTCAATTGCTACCTTACTGTTAGGGTAGTTAAGTGGAGTTCTAATAAAACAAATTTCCAAGAGTCAGCGCATGAATTGTGTCCATTTTTTGGATTGCTGAAGTTGTGCACCAAATCGACCAATTTTAAAAGACTGAGTGGTTGCAAAGTCCTTATTTTTGACTAAAGTTCCCCCCCCCCCCAACCCCCTTCTTACTCCCTAGATAGAAGAAGAACGAATTTGACAGGTTGATAGGTTGAAGAAATTTCCTATTTCACTAGGGCATATAAAGTGGATAGAGTAAGAGTGAACTTTGCAGAAATACAACTGTGAATGCGCAGAATTTGTCGCAGTTGTATGCAATTCTTTATCGAAAGGGGTGGGGGGTGGAAGGGGTGGGAATTTAGCTCTTTCATTACCTAACGAATATACCAATTCTGTTTTTTTCAAAAAATACTCATAGCTCCCTGCATTGTCCTCTTTTGTAATCTCAATCGCTAGTCAAGCCTGACAACGTCAGGACCGGGAATGGATTTACTACCTTGAATTTCATAACCTGCCAAAGGTGATTTTTTAGAGGATTAAAGCACTATGAGAATGGGTTAGAATTAGTTCTTTTTAAGTGGCAGGCTTTATGATAATTATCATGGCTATGCCTTCACTATCAACATCTTATTTGGAAGCGGAGGGGTGTGTGCGATAGACTTACCTCCACGTGGTGCACCCTGGACAGCGTGCGATAGACTTACCTCCACGTGGTGCACCCTGGGCAACTTTGCGATAGACTTACCTCCACGTGGTGCACACTGGGCAACGGCAAAATTGTCTATAAACCGGCAGTTGACTTCTGATTTCAAACTGCCATCACCCCAATGTATGCCATATTCCAACACTTTCACAGTATCCACCTTCACTTTTTCTCTACCTTTGTGTCTGACTATCTCTTTTGCATCTGTGAATCGCTCTTCTGTTCCCCACATCTCGACTTTCTGCTACATTGATGAACCTTCCCTCTGTGAAGCCCGAAGTCAGCTAAATGGCTAATGATAGTTGTCAAAACGCCTGCCACTTGAAATAAATAAATGATAATTACCATTAGCCCTTAAACTTTGACTCCAGCTTTCCCCATGGGTGGGAAGTACATATATAGCAATTAATTAATAGTAGTTCATAAGCTGTCTTCTTGCTTCCCAGTATCTCTGGCTTTCCGTCGTTGTCTTTAGAGCTGGTCACCAAATCAGGTGGGTCTTCTCCATTTCCTCCTGCAGGTCACATAGGGGGTATGTGGGTTGAGTGTATACTCCCAATCTGTGAAGGTGTTTTGCCAAGCAATCGTGTCCGGTACGTAGTCTAAACTCAGCAACGGCTTCGATTCTTGACCAGTCGGGTATGTCGGAGAGTGCCACTGTCCACTGTTTCTCCTTCGTTCGAGCTTTAATTTCGTTGCACCTTGAGGTCTTGAATTCTCTCCTGATTAAGACCTCCATTGTGTGGAATGACATCGGCCGGTCCATGCATTGCAAAATCGTTGTCCCCTTCTTAGCAAGTGTGTCAGCAAGCTCATTGCCTTTAATGCCACAGTGACCAGGAATCCATTGTAGGAGCACTGTTGTTTTTCGCTCTCAGCAGCTCGTAGAGTTTTCTACATTCCTTTATCTCAGCTGTTTTGGGTGGCTCTCTGTTTCCAATTGAGTTTATTGCTGACTGTGAGTCCGAAAGTATTACCGCTTTGGTGAATTTCGTATCCAGGCAACATAATTGGCATAGTGCTATCCTAATGGCCTCTATTTCTCCTTCGAAAGCGGATTTACTGTGTCCCGCGGAGTTAGAACTAGTTGTGACCGAAGCTCAGTGGAGAGAGAGATCGAAACAGGAATGGAAGACTGAAGATATCGAGGAAAGAGCCGAAATGTGCGTCGCCGAAACGTGGGACGTCAGAGTCCTGTAGGGAGCGAGTATAAATATATCGCGAGAGCGTAGACATTTGGCATCCAGCTGAGGTGAGGGTGCTCAAAACATTCCGAGTAAATCGGAGTCAAAAGATTAAAGACGTGCTGTCGGAAGTCCATTTGAGTCTCCTCCTCTTGTTTAAATAAATTGTTGGTGGTTGCTCAGACGCAGAAATAGTCACTCATAAGCAGCCCATGAAATTATGATTACGACATAATCTCTTACATTTATAGCTTCATCTTTTGGAAAGAATAATGCCATATTTCTAAAACAAAACAACATCGTAACTTGTTTTCCAGTCTTTGACCTTATCTTCTACTGTATAAAGGAAAGCTTTATTTGCAAAACTGAATTAATACTACAAGGTAGCCAACAACTGAATGCCAGAATACATTTTCCATTGCACTTTCTGGAGTCTGTAGCGGATTGCTACTTTATTAAAGCCTGACTGACTAAGAAATCTCTATGGCAAATCCTCCTACATCTATCTAGACTCCCAGAACCAGCTAAGCTATACCCCAGCTATTAAGGAAACAGACGTGTAGCACGGAGCACGTTTATTCAGTACGGGTATTGCCGATCAAGTGTGTACACGCAGGGAGCTACTCATGGTCAGGATGGGGAATTAGGTTAAACAAAAAGAGGTTGGTGATTGGTCACTGTTTGTACAGTCGCTGCACACAGAGTTGTACGGCCGCACCTCCCAATCCTGG